GCAACTTGCCGAAACCGTTCGTTCCATAGCTCCCTGACATCGTTATTAAGTAGGGCCCGACGGAACGGCACGGAACGGCACGGCACAGCCCCCGTCTCGCACGCACCGACCGAACGGCCGAATAACCGCTGCTGTCCAGGGACCCCGCCGCTGGACAGCCACCGGACAGCCCGGCCAGGACAGCAAATCTACTGCTGCTGGACATTCCAGACAAGCAGCGGCAGCAGACGAGACGATCCACGTCAGTCCATGTTCGCTTGTTCGCTATGGGTCCAGGCCGGCTCCCATGAGCTCGTCAGCACATCACGGGGCGTGGCGGGGCGTCGCGACTTTACGATTAAGCTGCCGCCACTCTCCAGTCTCCGGCCGGCCTCAGCGGGCTCCAGCGCACGGCTGGAGGGACAATTAGCCCTGCAACTCACTCGCATACCCTCGCCAAACCCGCGCGCTTCTATGCACTTCGCGGAACGACGGCGACGCCGCTGTTTATCTTCCGTGTATCGACTTGGCTATTCAATCAAGCGCGGTCCCGCTGTCGACGGCGCTCATTAAGGCGGGTATTGTCGCTTGTTTCTCAACGGTGATCTGCGATAGACACGCGCCCTAGCGACGCCACCACCGCGGGGTCCCAATGCAGCGCGGGCCGCGAGGGTCCTGAGCTGCCCGCGGGTTGGCGTCGGCCGCGGGAGGGCGGCCTTGGCGAGGCGGCCCGACCTCCCGGAAGACGCCCGGGTCCTAATGGAAGTGTCGCTCCACGAGTCCATCACGGCGTCCGGCGCGGGCGGCGGCGTGGCCGCGGGCGACACGGCCAGGCAGCCCGCCAGCTGGTGGCTTAATTGGAGCGCGTGGCGCCGCGCGAGCAGGCCAGGACGTGGGTTCGACGCCCACCGTCCGCCGCTCCATTTTCGCCACCCGTCCGGTCGGCCGCCCAGGCCGTGGACAGTGGCTCGGGCGCGCAGGCCGCGGACAGGCGGAGGCTGCTGTCGTCAAGCAGCCCGCCCCGCCCCGCGCTCAGCCCGCGTATACACCGCGACCCCGGCCGCCGCCGTGGGAGCCGCAGTGAGTCATCGCGTCATCGACGGACGAGTTCGAACGCCTGTCCTACCCGTCCAGCATTCCCAGCGCCCGGACGGGGGACTTCATTGGCATTCATAGGAGGTCCACGTGGCCGTCGAGCACGCACTCCCCCCGACGACCTCCTCTCTCTCCCTCTCACTGCGTCGTCGGAACCAGAGCGCAGCGGGCCCCAGGACGGGCCCCGGGTACTAATTGGGAGACGGCCCCCAGCGTGTGAGCACAAGGGCCCCCATGCGCCCCATCGGCCCCCGCGCCCCGCCACGCCCCGTCTGGCCACACCCGCCGCCGCTCACAGGCTCTTAGACCGGTAGGAGGAGGAGCTGCCTCACAATGAGACTGTCCGCCTTCCCCGCCACGGCCCGGCCCGGTAACGTGGCTGTCAGGAAGGACGACTGGACGGGCGGGTCTGGTCATCAGGATGACGGCGAGTGACCCCAGCTGCGCCCCGGGTCGCGCGGCCGCCACCTGTCCAGGGCCTCGCCCGCCCCGCGCCCCTCCGTGCCAGGCCACCCGACAGTTGTTGGTTGCAGCAGCGACTTCCGCGACAGGCCCGGTCGCCGGCCGACGTCATCCTGGAGGATGCTCGCGAGTCGTTACCGCCCCGTCCGGTACGCAGTCTCGACAAATCGGTACACGGAACCCGAACCCTGCAGGGTAGCCGGCCCGGACCTTATTAGTAGTAAATGGGGTGGCCGTCAATAACCACCACCACGACCACGCCCACTCATCAGGAGATGCGACAACGTTTACGAAGCCCCATCATCAACATTTGGGAGTAAAGGTTCCAATAAGACACTCTCCGCAAAAAAGGGGCTGATGCTGCTGCTGTTTTGCTTGAAGAAATGCCGGCCGAGCTGGTATTCTCACTGTTTAGTGCGTGCCTTGCTTGTAGACGACGACGGCGGCAGCCCGCCCCGGCTCGGCCATCCGACCCCAAACTCCTCCACAAATCATAAAATTAATCGCTTTCATTAGTGCCGTACGCACGCGTGTGAGTATGTGTGTGTGTGAGGTGGTGGAAAGGTCGGGTCCAGGATGGCTGGACGGTTGGTCCCAAGCGCCGCCCAGGGGTCGGAAATCAAAGGGTCGGGGCACTTTGCCGTGCTCGAGACAAAAATAACTAAACACCTCCATTTTTCCTCTCCCGTCCCCCCTCCTCCAGAAGACATAATAAATTGTTCGTGAACAACTTACGAACCTGGACCTACAGACTCTTAACCTACCACTATCCAACCACAAGACTAGCCCATAACGCTTCTTTGGTTTCATTTATTTTTTCGAAGTAAGGTTTGTTGGTATTGAGTATTCAGTGCCAGTGGCGGTCCGGTTATGCATGGCCCTTCGCGTGGCCCGTGACTTAGGACCCCTCCCACACAGGCCGCGAGAAATATTAGACGACTTGGGTCCTGGGAGAAGCGATTTGACATTTAGAACTGCCCCCAAAGGGCCTCTATACCGTGCACCGGGAGGAGGGTTGAAGGCGGGACGGGGGCGAGCCAGGGGCGGACCGAGGGCGGGACGGGGGCGGGCTGGGGGCGGGACGGGGGCAGTGGCCGGTGCTGCTGCTGCCGACTGGCGGCGCATTCCTGATGGTCCGGCCCCCGCCACGCTACGCCACGCCCCGAGAGCCCAGGGTCGCTCGGACATCATGGGAACGATGGGTCCATATGTCATATGCGTATGATGGCTTCGCTGCCCACACCGATAAATAAGCGTTCACGTATAAATGGGGGACGAAATGATTTATTTTCCATCGACATCCACACACGCCACGCATACACACGCATACAGCTGGAAAACAAAAACCATGTGTACGCACACCGATGCGACAAGAATAAAAACGTTTGTGTTCCTTTATGAAACGTGTGCAAAAGGGGTGGGGGTAGCCAGGGAGATTAGTGGACCTTTTATATCACGTGAACTGAGCAGCGACGCCCCTCGCCACTCCCCATACGATTGGTTCCCGGGGGAGAAAGGGGTTTAGTGTGGCGATGCGGTCGGCCGCAGAATCACACACAAACCACTCCTAAAGCAGCCATATAGGCCCCGAGCAGAAGGAATGGTGGTGAAGGAGGGGGGGGGGGATAGTCACAAAGCAAAAGGGGTGTCGTCGCGCCGTCCCCGTGCCCGTGACCCCTCCGGACGCGACACGGTCAAAACAAACTGCGATAAACGGGCTGACATCCTCAGAGCGTGAAGCGTGACGCTGTGTCGCCCCGCGAGGCAGGGCGACGACACGCGTGCTCACGTGGTCGTGTCATCAGCCACCCCAGCCCACGCCGTCCGGCCGGGGCGTCATCAGGGCCACGCCTGGATAAGAACCACCCTGGAGCTAATGAACGTGTCGATCGTTCGAACGACGCGCTGCGTATAGTCGTTTGCGGCGACGCCTATATGGCGACATGTGTCGGCGTCACACTCCCCCCAGGGCAGTCGGGCCGGGCTGCTCCAACTCCGTCGCGCTCCGCCGCGCGCACGCGACATCGCGCGACCCGGACGAAAAATACCCAGCCGGAAAAAATGGACTAAACAAAAAAAAAAAAAAGTGTGACTCGAAGCTGGCCGGCGCCGTTCATGGAGGCGGCGAGGATTAAGTGCGCGGCGGCCGCACCTGGCGCGGCACGCGAGGAGGATCCAGTGGCGCTAAGCGATGTCCACACAAAAAAATAAAAAAGTTGACGCGTGTCCCGCTGTGCCGGGGACCGCCCTGCCCCGTCGTCGCGCTCCAACGCGCCGCGGCCGTCGCACGACACGCGGGGCGGGGCCGCGACAAGTTGTCATCATCGCATTACGAGTGCGGACGCGCTGGAGAGAAAATAAAAAATAATAAAAAGGGACGGGGATAGAGAGAGGGGGAGAGGGGGGG